TACAGTGGACCCCGCACTCTGGGAACCGGTCTCCCTTCGATTTCCCGGGAATACCTTCGTTGGGAGTTCGTCTTTTGTTCATTCCGTGCTCATTTCGGAATAAGGGCTGAGGGGCCTTCAGGACACATCGAAGGAGTTCGGCTGAGGTGGGCACTTTGCATGCAAAAGCCTCCTAATATCGTCATGCCAGGGATTGTTTTACTTACTTATGACTGTATGCATCCTCCAAACGTAAATTTTCGTTCATTCTGAGGTCATCCCAAAATGAAGGGCTGAGGGGCCTTCAGAACATATCGAAGGGGTTTGGCTGAAGTGGTCGGACTCCTTTATAGAAGCCTTCTGACATTGTCATGTCAGCACTGGTTTTCGTGAGAACACGACTTTGCACAAATCCACACAGCATCTGTTCACTAGTCTTGCTGGCTGTTGAAGATGTAATAATATCTAATAAAGATGGCCCCTCCAGTTACCGCTGCGACGGCCGACTGTATGCGATCTCCCAATTTGAAATTTCGTGCGCGTCCTGCAGACGCAATTTCATAGCAAGTATCACGCATATAATCATATCATCAGGCAGCAGTGCGTCCATAATGGAAAAGAGGCTGCGGCTCGCTGGAGGTAGTGAGACATTGCTGCAACACTATGCCAGGTACTATGCGACGTCCAATATGATGCAGATGCATCTCCTCAGAAGCAACAAGCTCCAGTTGCGGCGGGCCCTTCGGTAGTTGGTTGGCTCAAGCTAACCAACTCGATCAAACAGGTACAATAAACGAAACTAGCAGACGCGTCACATGTAGAGCATCAGCGACTAGAAGCTATGTCCCCCCTGTCAGTGTAGGCGCCCCGTCTCCAGTGGCGGTGGACATGGAGTGGAGTCCGCCGAAGGGCCAAACAAATGCAGTGGAGCCCCGACAACCTAACAGGTGAGACCGTAGTCCATAAGGGATATATATAGAAATGTCTATCCTCCTTTGCATCATCGGATTACGTGAACGCACAATGAAGGAGCGAGGAAGACAGGAGAGGGGGGTGGGGGGTAGAGAGATCAAGCGAGGGTTAGGTGACGGTAGTGGGGAGGTGACGGGGATGGCGGTGATGGTGGCTCGGGTGACGGTGGCAGGGGCGACGGTGGCAGGGGCGATGGCGGGGACGGTGATGTTGGAAGGGGCGACGGCGGGTGGCTAGGGCGATGGCGGGGTTGGTGACGGTGGCAGGGGCGAAGGCGGGGATGGTGACGGTGGCAGGGCCGACGGCGGGGATAGTGACGGTGGCAGGGGTGACGGCGGAGATGGCGACGGTGGCAGGGGTGATGGCGTCAGGGGCGACGGTGCTTTGGGTGATGGCTGGGATGGCGACGGTTGCTCGGGCAACGGCGACGGCGGCGGTGGAAGGGGCGGTGAAGGGGCGACGGCCGGTGGCTAGGGCGATGGCGGGGTTGGTGACGGTGGCAGGGGAGACGTCAGGGATGACGACGGTGGAAGCGGGTATGGCGACGGTGGATGGGGTGATGGCGGGTTTCGTGACGGTGGCTCGGGTGACGGTTGGGTTGGCGATGGTGGCAGGGGCGACGGTACTTTGGGTGATGGCGACGGTGGCAGAGGTGATGGCGGCAGCGGTGACGGCAGGGATACATATGGCGACGGTAGCTCGGGCAACGGCGGGGATGCATATGCCGATGGCGGCAGGGACGGCGCCGGGGATGGTGATGGTAGAAGGAGCAACGGCTGGTGGCTAGGGTGACGGCAGGGTTGGTGACGGTGTCAGGGGCGACGGCGGGGATTGCGACGGTGGATGGGACGACGGCGGTGACGGTGATGGTGGAAGGGGAGACGGCGGGGTACTAAGGCGAGGGCGAGCTTGGTGACGGTGGCAGGGCCGACGGCGGGGATAGTGACGGTGGCAGGGGTGACGCCGGGGATGGCGAAGGTGGCAGGGTTGATGGCGTCAGGGGCGACGGTGCTTTTGGTGATGGCTGGGATGGCGACGGCAGCTCGGGCAACAGCGGGGATGCATACGGCGACGGCGGCAGGGACGGCGCCGGGGAAAGTGATGGTAGATGGGGCAACGGCGGATAGCTAGGGTGACGGCAGGGTTGGTGACGGTAGCTCAGGCACCGGTGGGGTTGGCAGCTGTTGGAGGGGCGACGGCGGTGACGGTGATGTTGGAAGGGGTGACGTCGGGTTGCTAGGGCGATGGCGGGGTTGGCGACGGTGGCAGAGGTTGTGGCGGCAGCGGTGACGGCAGGATGCATACTGCGACGGTAGCTCGGGCAACGGCGGAGATGCATACGGCGACGGCGGCAGGGCCGGCGCCGTGGATGGTGATGGTAGAAGGAGCAACGGCGGGTGGCTAGGGTGACGGCAGGGTTGGTGACGATGGCTCAGGCACCGGTGGGGTTGGCAGCTGTTGGAGGGGCGACGGCGGTGACGGTCATGTTGGAAGGGGTGACGTCGGGTTGCTAGGGCGATGGCGGGGTTGGCGACGGTGGCAGAGGTGATGGCGGCAGCGGTGATGGCAGGGATGCATATGGCGACGGTAGCTCGGGCAACGGCGGGGATGCATATGCCGACGGCGGCAGGGACGGCGCCGGGCATGGTGATGGTAGAAGGAGCAACGGCGGGTGGCTAGGGTGACGGCAGGGTTGGTGACGATGGCTCAGGCACCGGTGGGGTTGGCAGCTGTTGGAGGGGCGACGGCGGTGACGGTGATGTTGGAAGGGGTGACGTCGGGTTGCTAGGGCGATGGCGGGGTTGGCGACGGTGGCAGAGGTGATGGCGGCAGCGGTGACGGCAGGGATGCATATGGCGACGGTAGCTCGGGCAACGGCGGGGATGCATATGCCGACGGCGGCAGGGACGGCGCCGGGCATGGTGATGGTAGAAGGAGCAACGGCGGGTGGCTAGGGTG